CTACCAAGTAGTCCGGTCGTCCCGCACCATATAGAGCGAGTGGTACGTAAGGCTTCCCGGTGAATCTGAGTACTAGTAAGTCCTTAGGGACGACCAAGCCAGAATGTCTTCATCAGGGTTTCCATTTACCATGCCACCACATCACCTCCACCCTGGGCTCCTCCCATCACAGGTTCACACCCAGGGCCACCTCATATACCATTTACCCACCACAGGTATCCATTCTAGGGGTGCCCAGGTAGCACCCCATGGCAAGACTTGCCCTAGGCTCGTCGTATACTCTAACTTGGTCGACACAACCCTCACCCTCCACGCACCCAAGTCACACATGCAGCACTCTCTCCATAGTCCAAATAACACCAGTTCTCCACCACGCACCATGTAGTGCAAGTGTAGTAGAAGTAATAAGCAATGAAATATAGTAGCAAGCGTATGACTAGCCTAACAGCAGGGTGAGCAGGGGTAAGGTTGCGTCAAGGTAAAGGCCATCAAGAAAGCATTCTACCATGCAAGTCCTATCATAGTGTGATTACAACAATAAAGTAAAGCACTCGCATTTGTATTTTAGCCATGCATAATAGGTGCTACGAGGTTGGTTGGGATGTGGCACCTTCAGTGTAGTCGTCTCCGTACTCCTCACGGTACTCACGATCCTCGTCTGTCCGATTCTCCTCTGAGTCTGCAAACGATCGCATTATAGTCGCGTTAGCGACGTCTATAGAATAGCATAAAGAAGCAATGAAAATTCAAAAGAGCCAAATGCACTCAAACATGGGTTCATTGCGTAGAGCTCGATTTTAGATGAATTTTGGTCTTGGTTTCGTATTTTTCTGAGGTCATATGAATTAGTTATGAATTTCCGAAGTTTAAATCATTTCTAAAAAATGGAAAAAGGCTGAATTAATCCTGGGCTGACACGTGTCACGCTGTGGTTGGTCAACGTGGCTTCTTGGCGTCGATATGACGTCGCATCACGGTCCAGAAATTTGTCGGTGGGGGTCCGGTAACGTCGAGATGATGTCTTCATGGCGTCATCAACGTCATCCATTAAACGGTGGGGCGAGGCTATTGGGTCAGCGGCGGTGGATCCGGTCAAAGTCAACGTCAGTCAACGGCGAGTCAACGGTCAGCGATTAGGGTCAGCGGCGTGTGGGTCTAGAGCTCCGCACTCAACATGCTGGCGCGTCGGCAATGATGTTGGCGTGGCGTCGGCCGGTGATGTTAGCGCGACGGCATGGCTCACGGCGATGGCTGGCGTCACCGGCTTCTGGCCGGCTTCTAACGTGGGTCCGCATGGCGCCGACGATCGACATGTGGGTCTAGAGTGTCCGTGCCACTAACATGTGGGGGCGAGTCAGCGGTCAACGTTGACCGATCAGCGATCATCATCGGATTGGGTCTCAAAGCGGGTTCGGCGGCGGGCCGGGTTGGGCGGTGCAGGGCGAGGTCGGGCGCGCCGAAGGGCACCGTGGCAAGTGGTGTGGCGTTACGTCATGGTCGTGGGCCTCTACTAGGCTTTGTCCACGACTCCTCACACGCGGGCGTGGGCGTGGCTCCTGGTGGACGAATGGAGAGTCTTGGTCCATGGAGCTCCGGGATAGGTCTCTGATGGACCGAGTCCACCCTCCTTCTCTCGGCGCGGTCCTTGTGCCGGGTGCACTAGGGCGCATGAGTTCCCGAATGGCGTGGAGAGGGGGGTGTTCCCTGTTTCTCCATGGCGGTGCTCTGACTTCCCCGCCGCCAAAGGGGGAAGCTCGGAGAGGGAATTGTGAGCCTCCGTGGCGATCTTTGGTGTCCAATTGGGGGGGGAAAGGCTTCCCGGACCACAGCGATCATGATTACGGGGTCTAAGTGGTGGTCGATGCCTTCGTTAGAATTGGCATGGCGTAGCGGCCAGCGGCTTTTTATTTTCCTTCTTCTTTAGCAATTTTGATTTTAAATTTGGATTCCAAATTGGTGCACTAAATTCATTGGAGTTTTGATATGGCGGTCGCGAATTTATTGAGTTCTCTAGGTGTGGATGGCTAGAATTAGTTTTGGGCTTTAAAGATGAGGGCTTAATTACATGGTTCCGTGGGTGCCTGGCAAATGGCGTCAATGGCTCTTTAAAGGCATGCCATGCTTATGTGTTAACTTGGGTTTTGAGAGGCTGCATTTCTTAGGTTGTTTCCCGGTGGCATCACATGGAGGGACATCCCCGGTTGCCATGGCGATCATCAAAACTACACCAGAATGTCAGGTACAGTATGCCTGATGCAGGGCGAGACGTCACCTACTACAAGAAATTGGGTGCACTCATACAATTCATGAAGGCTCCGGTCTTAAGAGTAATATAATGTGGTAGGATCTAGTATAACCTGTGGAGAGTGTGGTAGCAGACTGGTGGTGTAGGGCAATTAATAATCTTTGACGTGCTTGTAACGTGTGTTTCCGATGGATTCCGAAACGAAAAGGCGGCCTTCAGGAAGCTATTGTACACAATTACGTTCCCAGATAGATTTGTTTTGGAGCGGCCATGAAGATAACCAATGTTTAACATATGAGTTAGTAAGACCAATGAAGACAGGAAAGACCAAACCCCTATTATTTCATTCATCCCCAACTGTTTCTTATTTGATTCCCATGGCACCCTGGAAGAACTGGGCTCACCCGTTGGTGTTGAGTCGAATGGATAGTGGTGTAGTGGCGAGGTTGTGGCCGTGTAGCTCCGGATGTCGTGCGATTTCTTGCCGTGCTATGGCGTTGTGGCGTCGTCCTTGCTTCCGAGGCTGGCCGGGAGGTGCTCCGTCGGTGGCTCCTTCTTCTTTCTCCCCCCCTCTTCCTTCTCTTGGCTCTCTCTTGGCTCGGGTGTGAGAGGTAGCCACAAGGTGGTGGCCATGGGCGTTGAGAGCTTCGAGGGCTAGAAGCGAGGCTTTATAGCCGAGCACCAAGCTTCCATGGCGGACGGTGATCGATCGGTGGAGAGTGGCAGGCGAGGCATCCACGGTGGCCTTGAGGTTGCGTGGGCGTGGCCAAGGAGGCGAGGCATGCCAGGCGTGTGACCAGCCGCCCCCAGTCTTGTCGGGGCTCGGTCGGGAGAATCGAATCGTGAGCGATCAGGCGTGGCGTGGAGAAGATGAGGAGGAGGGTGCAAGGGCTGTGTGGCGGCTAATGGCGAAGTAGCGGGCCTTGGCAGGGCGCAAGGCTAAGGCCCATTTGAGTGGGTAAAGCGTGTCTTTGGGAAGGCAGGGAAAAAGGGGGGGTTGGTAGGCCGGTTGAAATGGTGGGTGGTGGCCTTGAGCACCTGCGAGGCCTTCTTCTTCTTCTTTTCTTTTTCTGTTTTATTTTCCTTCTTCTTTATTTGAATTCAATTTTGATTTTTAAATTTGGATTCCAAATTGGTACACTAAATTCATTGGAGTTTTGATATGAGGCCCACAACATACTTATATAAATACTAGGAATTTATTTAGCTATTTTGTATAACAAAACTAGGTGTGGTTTTCGTTATACAAATGTAGAATTAGTTTTTCTCTTTAAACCTTTATTCCTTGGTTTGAATTTTAATTATTTCATGGTTTATTATTTTATTGGAGTTGTTAAGCATATCATAACTCAAATGGAAATCCAAATCACATTTTGAATTAACAATGTATGCAATACTTTATTTGTTAGAATTTAAATAAACACAATTAACTAATGACATGCCATGCTTATGTGTTAACTTGGGTTTTGGTTAGGCCTAATGCATTTCTTAGGTTGGTTTTCTATACATGACACTCATCATCACATGGAAGTTCTAAGAAAAATTTTGTAGTTGTGATTTTTGATGTGTGAATTTTTGGGTTGTTACCATCAGACATGGTATTAAATATCCCAAACATCAAAACTACACCAGAATGTCAGGTACAGTATGCCTGATGCAGGGCATGTTTTAAGACGTCACCTACTACAAGAAATTGACTTATTTCTACACATGCTTCATATTCAATTCATGAAGAGCTATTATATGCAATCTTAAGAGTAATATAATGTGGTAGGATCTAGTATAACCTGTGGAGAGTTCCAACGCTAATGAATGTAGTAGCAGACTGGTGTTAGTTAGATAGGGCAATTAATAATCTTTGACGTGCTTGCTTTAAGATAACATGTGTACAATTCTGATCAGTCGATGGATTCCGAAAAAGAAAAGAAAAACCTTAGGTGAGCGTACTCAGGATTCAGGAAGCTATTGTACACAATTATTGTTCCGAGCAGATAGATTTGTTTTGACAAGGCGGCCTAAAGAAGATAACCTAAACTAGATGAGGACATGTTTAACATATGAGTAGTAAGACCAATGAAGTGGTTGGCCTGACAAGTTGAAGAGTGAATTTTTCAGACCAAACCCCTATTATTTCATTCATCCCCAACTGTTTCTTATTTGATTCCCATGGCACCCTCAATTGAAACTCAAAATCAACTGCAAACACGAGACAGAGATACTATATTTGAAACACATGTTCAACTACAAACACCAGGCAAAAATTTACTGACAAAAGAAAAAAAAAGCTGAAATCCATGATGAGCAGCTGGGCACCATGTTATTGTCATCTATGACAGTAAACATACTAAAAAAATGGGCAAGATCACATCATAAGTTCATAACTCACAAGCATAAAAAGGGGCCCAAAAAAGATGATCATGCGTGGCAACCGGAAGCAAGCATAGACAGAAATGAATGAGAAGATTGTACTGTATATTCCAGTCGAATAAAAACAAGTAAACAGTACTAAGCAGATCCATCCAGCAACTGCAGCATGCCCATGGTCTGACATTCTAAGTTTCTAACCGATCTGCATGTCTGACAGTCTGAGTAACTTGCTTGGCAACTAAAAAACGGGTGCTCAGTGCTCTGTACAAAGAAAAATGCATGTACTAGATGTGCATACTTAAAGCATATACACGAATGCTATTCAGTACCTAAAAACTGCCGATAATCTCAAATGCCATTATACTAGTCTTGAAGATGATAACATTGATCAACCATTTAAAAGAGACTTGAAATGATAGTCATCAATAGTGGAATAGAGGCAGGCCAAATCGACCAGACGCTGGGCAGTGACCCTGCATGTTTAAAGATATATAAGATTTAGCATAGTGCATATGCTTGTGATGAAATACATGAGGGGAGAGTTATATACATAATTTGTGCTCTTGGCATTCCAAGTCTCCTTGCCACTTCATCAACATGTACTCCATTTTCAAGTGCACTGCATAAAAATGAAAGCAAATGGTCAATTCAGAACTCCAAAACAAGAATACATGCATGGAAATCAATGCAAGTGTTGAAACATCTTAGTTGAGAAGATGCCCAATGCAAAATTGGACAAAGAGGGAATTTTGATTCCACTGAAAACTAGGAGACAATCAAACAAATCAAAGTATCTTGATTCCTTGAAAAGTCAGAAGATCGCCAGCAAGTAACATACCATAGCTTTAACACTTATGACTTGACAAAGCTCATACAGCCACCTAAGTTATTAAGACTTCAAACAAAAGGATCAAGAAGGAATCAGATTACTAGATTATTTGTGAAACTCCATAACATTGTTACAGATTACTTCACAACACATTATGTGCATGAAAACACACAGGATGTAGGTACCAGACCACTTTTTTATGTGCATTATGATTATAATATTTCCATGTTATTTCTGGGTCATTTTTCTCTGTGTGTAACCAGACCATGAAGTTACAGCATAGGTCATCATCACATTATAATATCCAAATGAAGCAGCAAAAATCATATTCATTTAAATGTTAAAAGATGTAACTGAATGAATGCCACTACACTCTCTCGCAAATCTATGCTGATCTACGTGCCTTCTACCTATTATTTGAACATAAAATTAGCTTGTGCATATTTAAAATGGAAGTGTATTTTTCCTACTTTCCTTTTGGAACACACTCAAAGACTCCCTACATGCAGGGCACCAAAATAGCAAATCAGGGATGTATGTATGGCTGGAACTAACTTGCAATCACTGATTGGTATTAGGGCTTCTCAAGCTTGTGACCACAAATAAGCAAATCAGCCAAAGTTTAGCACTACTTAAGATCTTCTATCCTTTATCATAGTTTAAAGCAAAGCCGATCTTACAGTATATCTGGTTGTTGCATAACCTCCAAAACCATACTCTGCAGATCGTGCTGTTGTCCACCAGTACCTGGGTAAGCTGAAAACTGAACAAAAATTATCACAACCAATCAGTTACAAGAGGCAAACATACTTACCCGAAGAGAAAGGGCAGTGAAGGATATAAGTTTGCGAATAAAATATAATAAGGCAGCGATGAAAAGTGCTAGGACAGGCAATGAACTATCTCAATTCAGAATATCATAATGCTCAACTGTAAAATTTGCAGATCAGGATCAACACAATCAGATTCATATCTCAAATATCAAATGCCATGACTGACTCATAGATTCAACTACTTTTCTTTAGCAAGAAACTCTCAAAAATGAGAAAATTGAGAGGTTTCTTACTTGGTTTGGTTGAGGAGTAAAGTGAACTTGCTGTTCTCTAACTCCACCAGAAAAGGGTACATGAGTAGATGTGTTTGTCTGAACTGATGAAGGGAATCGCCCTTGGTTTACTGGAGGAACAAAATCAACTTGATGCTCTCTTACTCCACCAGAGAAGGGCATATAAGCAGGTGCATTTGTTTGAACTGTGTGAGTGACTTGAGCTTGCATCTCATGAGTAGACACATTTGCTTGAATAGCGCTAGGGAGTTGACCTTGCATCTTCAAAATGGAAAGGAAATAACATTTTGTGCTTTCATACATCATCAAAATAGAACTGACACAAAAAATTGCCATTTGCTCTAATCACCTTTGGCCGGACATTTACCAAATGCACATACATACACTCAATGAAGTGCAGCACCACTTCATTGAAATTGGTAACAGGCCTGTAAACAAAATTACAACGATCTAAGTACTAGTTGTAAGAAGCTGGTAAAAGTTTTTTTTTTTTTTTTAAATCCTGGTAGAAGTATTGATACTTACAGATAGAAATAGGCAAGAAACGATCAAGTATTCATAAACATATGCTACAATAATAAGCTAGATTTCTACATAGTAGTTACTTATCTCGTTCCTCACTTTGAAAGTAACAAAATATATAGAGAATGTTAACTAATCCAATTTCCAGCCTGGATGATACTGTATTGCAGCTGGCACTAGGCTTCAGAAGATCAACCCAAAGGAAGAAGTTGTGCAAGGACTATAATTAAAATATAGTTCTTTAGTGCAGAATAAGGATCCATTATCAACAGACAACAGTGCTTATCATTTACTACGAAATGTAACCAACAAAGCTTTAAGTTAATCCTAGCCAAATGCAAGCTCAAAAAAGAGTGTATTGCCTAGACAAACAGAGAAAATATATACAGGAACAAGTATAACATGGAAAGACAGTAAACCAGCCTTATTTTCCAATGAGAATGCATGTGGCCTTCTAAGTTTTAATGTCAGTTTCACCTAACAATAACAAATTAACAATAATGAAGCTATATGTGAGATAACTGGTTAGAGCCCAGAAATAATTAGTATGAGCAAGACCATGGTTCCACAGCCAAATGTGTGGCAGGGGACCACAATTAAGAAATAAGAGAGGCAATGCCTACACAAAATGTATGCCCACTTGACCTTTACATCTTCCTCAAAAAATTATGCATTTCAAATTCCAATATGCTTCTGATAAGAATATCCTAATAACAAGGCTAGCATTCCATTCTTATGACAAACCTAATCTTACTGAAAACGTTATTTAAAAATTACTGTAGAAGCAGCAGTCAAGCTTTATGCTCAAATCAAAATTTGGATTAGTAAATAGTGAGTAAACAGTCTGAACACGTTCTATGAACGTTTAAGATCCATTTTACAGTAACAAATTATATTGATAAAATTTCGCTAACAAGACAAGCATTCAACCTGAATTAAAAATTCAACCAAAATTGTATGCATATACAGAAATAGTGGTAGAAAGGCCATCAATAGCAAAGAAAACTTAGATCCTTTACCTCATAGAGCGAGCAAAACCATGCTGCTTAGCTTTAAACCCTACGAGAGTAACTTGAACCTTGAGGTATAAACCATTCCTTCATATACACCAGCAAACAAGCAATAACAATTATGTCATATCAACTTCCCGATAGCTAAAAGCAAAATGTCAAAATCTCAAATCACTTGTAAAGACTAAATTAAACGCATCTCAGAGCTTGTCAACATCAAATACATACTGGACGAAAGACACTTCCTTAGCATCAATATCGTCAGTGATCCTGCATTTCATGAAAAACTCTCACATACTGTACAGCCACAGTTGCATCTAGCTAAAACATGAATGAAACACTAATCGCGAGTTCGCGACTCACCACCGCACGAGCGGGATCTTCCCAGTGCCGTCGTCGAGCTTGAATGAGACGCCAGCCTCCATGTTCACCACGCTCACCGCCCTCCCCAGAACCCAAACCTACACGCGCGCGAGTTGGGGAATTTTTCCCAGAGCAACACAGAGGTAAGCGAACCCGCGCGGATGCAACTACAGGAAGGGATTCCGAGGCTCGGGGGTGCTTACGTTGGTGGCGTCGACGCCGTCTATGGAGATGACAGAGTCGCCGCCACCGGTGGCATCGGCGGCGGCGAAGGAGCGGGCGATGTGACGCACGGTGGTGGGGGCGCATCCGGAGAAGCGGGGGTCACGCGACTGCTGCGATCGGAGCGGCGAATGGGGTTAGGGAGGGTTTGGCGGGAGGGGGGATGGAAATCTGTCACGAGGAATCGAGGATTACGGACGGACCTTGGCCGGAGAAGGGGCGGCGACGGCGGAATTGTCGGGCGCCGCGGCGGCGCGCTGCGACGGCAGGATGGCCGAGCCAGCGAAGTAGGAGGAGGCCGCGGTGGCCATCGTGCTCGCGTCCGCGAGGGTACGGTACTGCGGTTTCGGTGGGGACGCTGACGACGAGGAGGGGATTTGATCGAGTGGGGCCGTGGGGACGGCAGTCGTTTGAGCGGGAAAAATAAAAAAATTGGCTTCGGTGCCGCTTCCGCGGGCAGGCGTATGGTAATTTCGGCCAGGCCGAAATCCTCGTCTCGGCGAGGCCCAAATAAAGGCCCAACAACGAAAGGCGGTGCAGGCCTGAGGCCTGACTGACCCAAGCGCCAACGTCAGCACCAGACGCGGCAGCCTCGCCCTGTCCTACTTCTCCTCCTCCCCCTTCTTCCCCGCCCCGCCGCCACTTTCCCCCAACTCTTCACCACCGAGGAGCCGCCGCGTACAAGGCGAAGCGGCACCGGAAGGAGAAGGAGAGAAGCGAGAGTCTTCCCCGCCCGTGCCTGCCGGAGCAAGGTGAATCCGAAGCGAGCGGAGAGGAGAGAGAGCCGAGCGAGGATGCCGACGGTTACCTGCAACGCGTGCAACGCGGGGTTCGACGACGAGGAGCAGCAGCGGCTTCACTACCGCTCCGAATGGCACCGCTACAACCTCAAGCGCAAGGTAACGTCGCCCCCCGCCGCAGCCGGCCTTCCGTCGCTAGAACCCTAGGTATTAGGTTCATCGGTTCGTGCGGCTTGCCTTGGGGACTAGAATGAGAGGAATTGAGAATTAAGCGTGGGGGTCTTGACACTCCTTTATCGGAATTTTGAGTTTGTTAGCAGCTAAGGTCTTGGAATGTTTGCAAAACTCCAACCTCTGCACCTGAGTTTTGTTGATTTTTATAGTTTTGTGATAGTTGTATGTGAATATTTAGATATAGAAATACTGCTGCAGATTGGTAATTTCTAAAATTGGGTCCATCTGGATACTTAAGAGTTCCATTTCAGTCATGAAAATTGATTAGAATTAAGAAATTCAGGATATTTTTTATATTTTTATGGACCAAAAAAAGAACATATATTGGTACATTTCTGGCCTGGCTATGATGGATATTACGTGTGGAGAATTGTTCAACTTTTTTTGTCTGTTTGATTTGATCATGTTATTGCTTCCTTGTGTGTTGAACTTCAATTATGCTTTGTCTTGATATGTTAAATTCTTCAGGTGGCTGGAGTTCCTGGTGTCACAGAGGCTCTGTTTCTGGCTAGGCAAGCTGCTTTGGCGGAGGGGAGCAAACCTGCAAGCACCCCAATGCTTTACAGTTGTGCTCTCTGTGGAAAGGAGTACAGGAGCTCGAAAGCTCATGAGCAGCATCTTAACTCGCGATCACATCTTTTGAAAGCCTCTCAGGAGCCCAATGCCTCTATTTCTGGTATTACAATAGTCAAGCCACTTCCTGAACGAGTCCCACGCAGAGCTCCATCTGCAGTAGAGGAGGATGAAGACGACGATGAGGAGGAAGAGTGGGTTGAAGTTGACCCAAGTGAGATGGAGTTGGCTGATGAGTCTACTTCCAACATGCAAGAAGATGAGCAATCTGATGATGACATGGATGATCTTGAAGAGTTGGATATCTCATCGTGTTTCATGTGTGATCTGAAGCATGACACCATAGAAGACTGCATGGTCCATATGCATAAGAAGCATGGGTTTTTCATACCTGACAGTGAATACTTGAAGGATCCCAGTGGTCTTCTTACTTATGTCGGGCTGAAGGTATACATTTTCGTCAGTGTAACATCGAATGTTGTATGTGTGCAAACATGAAGTTTAATCCTCACGCTGAATTGGTTATCCTACCTGCAGGTGAAGCGTGATTTTATCTGCCTCTACTGCAATGACAGATGCCAGCCCTTCTTCAGTCTAGAGGCTGTCAGGAAACACATGGAAGCAAAGGGGCATTGCAAGTTGTGGTATGGAGATGGTGGAGATGATGAAGATGCTGACCTTGAGGATTTCTATGATTACAGCAGTAGGTTGTTAAACTCAACTCTATGTTACTGAGTTTGTTATTTTTAAATGGTCAATGGTTGTTCCTGTTTTTCCTAAGCACCATGGAAAGGTTTCTGATATAAAATGATTTTAATTTGGTAATTGAGTAATTGGCCATCCCTTAGCACTTTACATAGGGAAATGATCATACTGAGATCATATTCATTTGAATGTCGGATTGCACTGTGGATTGTAGTCATAATAAAGTATACTTTGGCATATTAGTGTTGATAGGTTGCTGGATGTGTTTTGAATTTCAGAAATCCGTACCATGTTATGCTTAGCTGTCTGATCATGTTATGCTCTTACTCTTTTGGTTGTGCTGTTGAGTTGTGATCTCCTGATATTTCATAAAATTGCTTAACTGGTGCATCATTCGTTCATTGGCAAAGAATAATCTTGAGAATGCAGACTGTTATTCAGTCATTTATGGTGGGACAATATTAGGGTTATATTTCATACAAATGGAAAGGTAAGGTAAAATGCTTGGAGATTTGTACATAGATGGTTGAGATAGTGAATTTGTTATGATACCATGGTCAGTATTGTTGATAATCTTAGTTTTTGCTAGTCAATGAAGTTTGGACGCATCTTACAATTTAACTTTTGCTGCAGTTATGTTGATGCAGAAGGCAAGCAGTTGGTTGCTGTTGATGACTCTACCAACAACATTGAGCTGGGAACCGGTGGGTCTGAGCTCGTAATAACAAACAAGAGTGAGAAAGGCACTCGAGTCAGAACCCTTGGTTCTAGGGAATTTATCCGCTACTATCGCCAGAAACCACGGCCTTCTGTTGCAACAGACCGTGCGCTTGCACTTTCGTTGGCTTCCAGGTCCAAATCTTTGTGCTGCCCCCTTTTCCATTGCATTGTCTTCATGTTATTTCACTAGCTTTCGGGTTGGCACCATTATTTATGATATCTGTTTTTACTGCAGCTACAAGAGCATGGGTTTGGTGACAGTTCAGTCTAAGGAGCAGATGGTAAGGCTGAAAGTTCTCCGTGCAATGAACAAGACCGGGGTCGAGACGATGCGAAACAAGATCGGGATGAAGAGCAATGTGATCCGAAACCTCCCTAAGAACTGCCCGTATTAGACACTTTGCCTTTTCCTGCACCCCAGTCTGGAGCTCCTCCAGACATTTATATGGTGTCTTACGGTTTCTTGTCTATCACTGACAATGTTGGCGCTTAAGATATTTGGATTAGGAGTATACCTTCCATACGAAGTTTTTGTTGAACTCTGTGAGGTGTGGAAGCAGCTGTGACCTGCGTGTTGGACTGCTAACAGCCTACTGTTTCTGTGTTCTGTCTTATGTGATAATCCTGTTGCAAGACGTGGGTGCTCAAATCGCCGCTACACCGTGGTTAATATGTGTAGTCACCTGTTGCATCAACTGTCAGCAGCAAAGTCGTTCTTCAATGGAGAGACTAGAAGTCAAATCGCTGGTAGAAATGATTGTAACATCTCGTACAACTTTGTCCCAGCTGTGGCCATTGTAACCGTTGTTGCAAGCTCTGGTCTTTGTTTTTTTAGTCTACGCATACATGGTCATGGTCTTCGGCTCTTCGCTTCGATTATAGATCGTTCAATGTGGTTGCAAACTTGCAGTAAGCTTTTCAAATGAGGCCATGAGCGACCCTGTGCTTACTTATAGGCTATAGCTGACAAAATGGTCAATTTTCGACATTTCAGACGGTTTGTATAGCTGTACTGGCTGTTATTTTTACGAAAGCAACATTTGGGATGCTAATTTTGCAAAGCAGGTTGTTTGCGAAGCACGTTCATTTATTCAAACAGCAATGTGACATTGTGCTGAAAACGTATGTTGTAAGTGTTTTAGATGTTTTAGAGATATGTTGCAAGTGTGTTTGTGTCGGATGTTGTAAAAGTAGATCGAGATGTTGCATATGTCATAATGGTTATACACGTATGTTCTAAACTTCTGTTCCCAATATTTCAACTGTTTTTTCCAGACGTATGTTGCAAGTGTGTTTATTTGGATGTTGCATATGTTTCACACATATGTTGTAAAGTGTTTTATCCGGATGTTGCGTATGCTTTACAATGATTTTCAAGTGTTTTTCATGTGTTTTTACAAGTGTTCCAGATGCATGTTTCAAGTGTTTCTTGTATCTTCAGATGTATGTTGCAAGTGTTGCATCTAGATGTTTTAAAAATAGATCGAGTGTTGCATTTCCTCCTCGCTTTCGTTGCCTTGTCTCTGTCTCTTCCTCCCGGCGCCGGCCGCGCATCTGCTGGTCCCTCTCCACTCTTCTAGGGGCCTGTTTAGTTCCCTCTCAAAACGTCAAATTTTTCAAGATTCCTCGTCACATCAAATCTTTGGACGCATGCATGAAGCATTAAATATAAATAAAAAATAAAACTAATTACACAGTTTAGACGAAATCCACGAGACGAATCTTTTAAGTCTAATTAGACTATGATTGGACACTAATTACCAAATAACAATGAAAACGCTATAGTAGCGTTTTGCCAAATTTTTCGGCAACCAAATGCTAGCAACGTTCGGGACGGTGTGGACCTGTGTGGAAGCGCGAAACAGTGCAGGCGCTAGCAAGCCCGTTAAAGCCACAAATATCACGTGAGCCAGCCACTTGAGTTTTTTTCTCGACAAGGGCCACTTGGATTCCTTGGGAGCCAAGGATAGTTGACGGGGCCGTAAGGGGCTAGGAGCCCAGGACTCCTACGAGCCTATAACTTGCTGCGTTGCCATTGGGCTCCTTGCTGCGTTGCTTTGCTCGCCCCTGCCCGGTGCCCGCCGAAGCAGTCGAAGCGAGCAGGAGAGAAAAGAGAGGGAGGCAGAGGAGAGGATGCCGACGACCACCTGCAACGCGTGCAACGTGGTGTTCGTCGACGACGAGCGGAAGCGGATCCACTACCGCTCCGAATGGCACCGCTACAATCTCAAGCGCAAGGTATCGAATATCGATCGCCCCCTCCGCCATGGCCATCACTGCATCACCGTACCTACTACCTATGGACCAACTCTAACAATGATTTGCTCAAAAAAAAAAAA